TTTCCACTTAATTATTCTTTTTTTTACAAGATGGAGAAGGTTAAAATCTAACATGTACCCTTTTAAAAGATGATCATATTTTTTGTGTAAATAGTTGGGTGTTTAATAAAATTGCTTGATGTTTTCTTTTTTAAATTTAATGTATTTATTAGATAGTTTATAAAACTTAATAAAAAAATAATTTACAAGCAAATTTATTTAGTTTTTATTTTTCTTATGATTCATTTTTTTCGATACTTATTATTAGGGCCTAATTTCTATGTTCGTCTAAGGCCACTAAAATCTCAAAATCAGGCATGATCAGATATCATCAGTTAAGGTCACTTTATATATCTCTCAGTTACGACTGAAAAAAGGACTTTTTCTTCATTCTTTCCATCCTCTCCAATTCACCATACATCCATTATGTCTTCATCTATATCACAAATAAAATACCGACCAATGATCATTCCTCACCGATCGTGACTTTCTATAAAAAAAAAAAAGTCAATTGTCGATAAGACAAACTTATTCCAATGGCAAGCATGCGATCACGTTTTTATTGATTTTTTGTATGACGTCAACTACTCAAAAAACAAAATATAAGGATTAATTTCACTAGTTGAGTATAATATAGGGACTAATAGTAGAATTTGATCAGTATTTTATAACATTTAGCAGACAGCTGAATTCTTTTAATGTATTTCTTGTTGACTTTTTTTGCGTGAAAAAGGACGTTTTTGGAACCATCTTTCTCCGTACAGGACGGTGGTTACAAACATTTGGGATGTTTACTTGTAATGAATTCCTTAAAACATTCTTATTTATTTGAAATCATGGCTTTAGTTAACTTCCATGTTTAATCATTGATTAAGAATATTATTAATTAAAGTTAATAATTTTTAGTTTCATTCCCATTACATTAGAGTTACGAAAATAGAGACAAACACAAAATTTTACATTAGAAGATATATTTATAAAATTTTAAAAATAAAAATATATTATCAATAAAAAATTATTTAAATTATATAAGAATTTGAAATTTTCCAAAGATGATTACCTTCCCTTACCAATCCTACAATCCATCCTTGAATTAAAGGTTGATTGCACCCATCCTACTTTCTTTTATATTTTCATTAAATAACTCTCAATTTATTTGCATAATGTTGACATAGAAAATAATATTAGCCCATGGTTTAAAGCAGCACTCAACGATTAAGTATTGTCGGAGAATATTATATATTTTTTTGTAGAGTCAAAAAACATTCTCCGAGACTTAGGTTAACAAAATGGAGCTTTGTCAATTGCAATGTACGTTTGTATTGACAAAAGCTTAGCTGTCTAAATCATGAATATCATTTTCAAACGAATGCACGAGTTTGTTCCAAATTTTCAACATTCTCTATTCCTTCAACATTTATTAATCATGTCCACCACTTGGAATTACCAATGCAACCTACTTCACACGAAATATGAACATGAATAATTATTAGGAGTCGTTCAAATGTAATAAACCTATTACCTATAAAGATACAATGTATTTATAGTTCGAGAGATCGATTATTTTGTGAAATTGATTGATTTTTTTTAATATTCAATTGTTGCTAGTCAAAGGATCGATCCTTTAAGAGTAGAGATCGATATTTTGTCAAAGATGTTGATCTTTCGTGAGAAGAGATCGATCTTTATTGTGCAGTGGGTTCGATTGGTTTGAATGGCTGGTTTGGATAGATTGGAGAAGATGAGAAAGGAAGCTGGATCTAATTGAAAACTGCAGAGAAATAATAGAGAATATAAAAAATAAAAATAGCTTATTTGATTTTTTTTTGAAATAATGAGGTTAATATTGTAAAAGTCTTTTTAAGAGTAAAATTGAAAAGTTAATGAAATGTTGAGGACTAATTTTACTGCTATTACTTAAATAAATGGATACTTTTTAAAAGAAAATATTACATGCCACTTTCTGAGTGACCTATTGTTATCACGTCAAATTTTATCATTAAAATGAGTGAAGACGTTAACAACATGAAACCTTATGTATGAAATTGAAACTAGAAAAATCACATATATCACAATTAAGGATCGAGTATAGTTCATATATAGACCATATATTTAACTTCAAAACAATATATGTATCATTCATGTCAATTTTAAACCTACTTTTACTAATTGAAAATATATATTATTATTGTACTGAACTCATCAAGCGGTCTTAGTGGTAGGAGGGAATATTGTTCTCCCTAGAGATCCTGAGTTGAATAGATATGTTTGTAAGGTGTGTATGTTATCAATTGATTAATAAATTTTTGAACCAATATTATCTTGTAATCATTCAAGACTACTAAAAAATTAGTACGATATTATTTTTCTTTCTCCCTCGATATAAACCATTAGAGAAAGTTTGGACCACCCCCACCATAAAGCCGACCGTATGCGGCGGTTTCCGCATGGAAAAACATGGCTTTTCCATGCTTCGCACGGTACACCGGCTGTTGAATATATAAATCATATTCGTCTTACCCTACTTGTAATTTGAGAAGATACATGCAATATAAAACTAGAAGATACCTGCATGGTGGCTAGGGAATAATTATTCAACCTTTAATTTAATGCTTAAGAAATAGTTTTAAATGAAAGAGAAGATTTGAGTTGAAATTTGCTTATAAATGTACATAAACTTGGGATGGTCACAGAAATTTTATGTTAGGGTGAAAATAAATCATCTATAAAAGAACATTCAAAATATGTGATAATTTAACTTGAACCGACAACTTGCATTAATGAATAATGATCCAAAATAACTTTAGACATTCTTTCCCTGAGCATATTATATATATATATCCATGAAAATTTCCAGGAATTTCCAAATATTCTTGTCCTTTTTGTTGCTTTCTGCCCTATTTAAAAACCTAGAGCAATCGCCACAGTGGCAGCGCCATACGAGCAGTGGTTGATCAAACGAAGAGGGGCTTCACAAGCATCCATTTACTCCCACTAGCATGAAGACATTGAAGGTAGCTCAATCTTATTTTGGACCCAGTAGAAGAGGGGCTGGTCACAGCATCATTAGCCAATTATGGTGTCTATGTTCGCACTGAGTTTATCATTTTTCTTTAGGTTTTATTTTTCTACTCTTCTATTTCATTTGATTGAGGAGAGTATGATGATCTCATTTTATATATAATACAATCTTGTGCTCAATATTCACCAAACGAATCAATATATTCACTACAATGTTTACTTCTCCTCGTCCTAACCCTCTTATTAAATTGAGTTTCAACTTTGTGCTTATAGAGAACAAATTTCTCTATAGTTTTATGTTTTGTTTTAAGCAAATATAGATAATAATATTTGCAAAAAAATAGCCTTTTAACTTGTACATTCACCAACCGACAAATTAATTTTACCTTATAAACATTTACTGAACTTTATACTCTACTTTTGTGGGATTAAAGTTTTTTTGTGATGCCCAAATATCGATTCCTCATTCTATTTTAAGCATATTATATGCTATTTTAAAAGTCTCATGGAATAAAATATAAAAATTGTAATTTTATTATCCAAACATTTAATTTTACCAATAAATAATATCTCAAAGTTTCAAAAAAATTATTCATTATTTTTCAACCCACCCATGAGTATTTCAACACAAGCAAAAGACTACCTTCACTATAGTATAATGTTTAGTGAATCAACTTTTGGTTAAGGGGATGTAGCTCATCTATATTACTATAATTTTGTGCAAGCGTGATGCTTTTTATAAATTCTAAATCTAAGTCTAATTCTATTTAGAGAAGAGATGAAGGGAAGACTCTTTGAGAAAAGAATAAAAATGTTCTGAATTGGTCTAGAACCCATGACCTAAAAAAATATAAAAGAATAAAAACGAAAAAACTTAATCAACCTGCCATATATTATGTACTTAGAAAGAACATTTAATTACTTTTAAATATAAAATTTTACCTTCTTACTTAGACTTATTATTCTTTCATTACTTCATGGTCTAATATGAAATTCAGCTTCTATGTAAGAAGCCTTATAAACAAGTCTTAAGCCTTCAACTGCATTGTGAGCGACATTTTATATCTTTTAGGACATACAACTATTATGGTCTATTAAAGAAATTTGTGGTTATTTTTTTAAAATTCTGATTTTGAGTACCGTGTTAAAAATATGAACGTTTATTGTCAAAATAAAATTAAAAATCTTTAAATAGATAGTATTTTATATTAATTCCAAATTAAAAAAACAACTATTATGTTCATATCCTTATTTTCTATTCATTATACTAAGCATTTTGTTACTAACACATTCTCATGCTCTGCCTTCTACCAAATATCAATCTCTCAAGTTCCTTTTTTAGAAAAACAATTTAATTGCTATGCCGTCTGAAGGATTGATGGAGTGCCGATTGAGCCAAAATTGTTTGCACCATAATTTCTAAAATTTAGATTAAATTTTCGGATTTCATCGATTTCTTTTATAAATTTAAGATAATTATAAAATAATACTTATTTAAAAATAATAATTAATTAAGAATAAATATATATCGTATGAACACTATTATTCTAATTTTAAGAAAAATAATAATTCCTTCAATACGATGGATAAATTCCCAAATTCCATCAGGTAAATTTACAAAAACAAAAAAAAAACCTGAAAACCAGAAAATCCTTCAAAATAAAAGCTGAAATACTGAAAAGAGGGAATTTGATAATAAAAAATCAATTAAAAACAATATTTTTCAAAACTAAAATAAAATTTTCAGGTCCTTAATCATGTTTTAAAAATAATAAACCATCGAGCCGACCAATTAAACTCAAAATTAATAACATTTTTCTTGAAACCATTATTTGAAAAACAAAAATAAAAATTTGCAATATCAGTTTCATGGGAAAATAGTGCTTCGTCCTTCCTTTTTTTTCATTTCTATTTTATGCTCTCACTTGGTTTTTTCATCCTGGAACCGCAGATTTTTTGGTCCATCACATTCATGCATTTACGATTCATGTCACTCACTACCCCTCTGTACACTACCAAAATCATAATTTCTATAACCGAATTAGCAAACACCAATTTTAAAACAAATAAAGGCAAACGAAAGAAACTAAACAATTTTCAATTTTGGTCCTCTTATGGTGAGCCTACTCGATTTTACTAATTCCAATACGCTTAACAACAGCATTTCTAATAGCCTCTGTTTGCAAACAAAGCTCATTCTTATCGATCCCATCCATATAGTTTCTCACTTCTTTTCTTATCATCTCCTGCATCACTGCCAAAAACTCTGCGTTAAAAAACTGCTTCTCTATCTCCCCAGCAGGTGCTACTAATGCTGCTGCAACCTTGGTCGGGTTTGGAACAGGGTTGAATTCGGGTGGGTGTACGGGTCCTGGGTCCTTGTTTTCGCAACAATCGAAACCCGGCAGCGAGAGGCTGAGTAAAGTAGGTGGGTCCGTTGTCGATGAGGCCGTTGCTGTCGGAGTGAAAACCGGTGTGGAAGCGGGTAAACTCAAGTCACTCAAATCGGATCCTGAAGGACTACTTGGATTCAAATAAAGACCCGTTGTATTATTACCATTTCCTAGACTGGCGGATCTTTTAAGTGGCTGTGGGGAGTCGTCGTTTAAATCCTCGGTCATGGATTTTCGCTTTAGCGTGGAGTTCCAGTGGTTCTTAATCGCGTTATCGGTACGACCATTGAGTAGTCGGGCGATGGTAGCCCATTTGTTACCGAATCGCGCATGGGCTCGGATTATCGTTTCATCTTCCTCGGGACTGAAAGGACGGTGTTGAACCTCGGGGGAAAGCTGGTTGCACCATCGAAGCCTACACGACTTCCCCGATCGACCCGGTATTGATTTGCTTATCAACGACCAGTTCCTGGGTCCGTACGTTTGAACCAACCGCTGTAAAGCCTCATCATCTTCCGGACTCCATGGACCTTTGATCCGATCCACATCTTTCAATGAAGACGCCATTGAGGAGAGAAAAAAAGAAAATATAAACTCTAGGAACCGATTACAAAACCCCAAAACCCAGATAAATATTAAATTTAAGCCAATTTGATATATGTACAGATGAGAGAAGGCAGAGAGAACGGTGCGGAGCGGTGGTTACGACGGGTGGTTGAGGGCGGAGCCTCTTCACCTTTGAAAACAGAGAGAAGAATACGGAAGAAAATGAGGAAGAATAAATATATATGGGGAGGAGATAAGGATGACTTGTTGAACCGGTAAAAAGTGAGCATTCACCGGTTATAGGCATTTAGTGATAGGCAAAGACAGTTACTAATATACAGCTGTCAAAGGACACGCGTCGATTTATAACTTCTTTAACTTACACGTATTGTTGTGAATGTCAGCTAAAATATCAAAAATTGATTACGTGCTGCTCCCAACTAACTGATTCCGTCAATTTCACGCCCCCTATTGGGTAATTCAGTTAAACGGTGAAAATCCTCCTTAATATTTTCACTTACAATTTACTAGAACTTCAAATTTATTAATTACTAAAAATTTACGTAACTTTTTTTAACAAATCTTATTTCATTAAAAAGGCAGTTTTGAAGGCTAAATTTTTTATCTTATCCGATAAAAAAATGGAAAACTTAATTATGAGAGAAATAAATGTACGGTTGGGAAAGGATGACTTTGACTAGAGCCAGGCTGGAGAGCATTTTGATTTTAATTTTTTTATAAATTTAAAAATGGTATGGGTACAAAGCTGAGCTGGCTCATAATACGACAAAGTTTTTGTTGCGGAATCGAGGGTAGGTAGGGCAAATATCGACACAAGTTGGACTATTTTTATTTATTTATTTCTTTGTTTTTATATTATATTAGTATATTATACTATTAAATGAAATTTTTTATATTCTAGAAAATATCAGGTACGAATGGTAGTACAATGGTGTCGGTCCAGGCTGTCATGGATCAACTTTAATTTTCTTCTCCCAAACTGCCTAGCGTCACATGGCCGTAACGCTCCCATTTTCTTGTACTTTTCGTAACTGCCCAATGCCTCTAAGCCGACTCCACCGTCTTACCTGCTTAATTTATTCATTATATATATATACATATATATGTGCGCCCGCGCGCGGAGAATACGTATCATAAAATTCTTTTAGTTTTATAAATATTTAATATTATTAAATAAATAAAAGTAGATAATTTAAATTAATAATAAATAATAAATATTTATTTAAAAAGATTAAGAATTAATCTCAATAATATATTTTTATTGTACAATAATTTTAAATTTATGTATAATTAAAAGAATTTTATATTATATAAATGAACATTTTATATATATATTAGCAAAATTAGGTACAACTTTTTTTCAACTCATTATTGTAATTATAGATATAATTTTTTTAATGATTAAGGAATTTTTGTTGAAAAAAAATATAATTCATCAGTTCTATCATCCATGTGGCCCTGGATTTGATATGTTTTTTTTTATTTTCAACGACAACTACTATATTAAAAATAAGAGATTCTTCGCCGAAAGATTATCTGCGTTGACTTAAGGTTACAAGGATTTAATTTTATAAACATTATTTATAGGCGGTCATAGATATTTTATTTAATAAAATATTGTTTGTTAATATCATTAAAATTGTGTAGTGAAATAGTCTGACAGATAGTTTGATTTATTTATTATTCTTTTATTTAGGGATGGCATGAGATTCGAATTTGATGGGTTTTGACTCGATCAGACCCGATCGGGTCGGGATTTTTTTTAAAATGTGATCGAGTCGATTTTTTTTAAGATTGTGTTCGGATCGGGTCGGATTCAGGTTTAGGGTGAATAATATCCGACCATACCTGAATAAAATATAATTTTACCTTTTATATTTATGAATAATTACAATAATATCCCTTTATATATTATTTTTAAAAATTAAATCACTATTTTTATTATTATTTCGGGTCGGTTGGGTCGGTTTCAAATTTTATTTCAAAAAGTCAAGTAGGGTTTGGGTCAAGTGAATGGTATATATTATGCGAGTCGGGTCGAATTTTGGGTGGAGGAGTTTTTGTTCTCATGTCGATTTAGATGGACCAAAAATCTGACTCAACCTTATTCATGCTCATCCCTACTTTTATTATTTCGTAAAACATGTCATTCGATAAAATATAGTGTTTTTATGAAAATTATTAGATTTTTTTGATGTTGGTCATTATTTTAAAGGGAATGTTTCATTTTTCTTCTTGTTTTTGGGTTTAACATTTTTATTTTTGTATGAGTTTTTTATGATTATTGTCGTCGTTTTTCTCTATATACTTGATTGTGATGTTATTTTTATTTATTCTGTTACTTTATTAATGAAACCCAATTATCATTATTCAAAAAATTAAAAACATTAATTTATTTAAATTTTAATATGTTATAAAAATATAAATATCAAACAAATTGAGTCCATAAGATCAAAACAATTGTATAAGTGACCATTTTATAAATTTTCTAAAGTCAATTGATCAAAATAACAAAAAGAATTGAAACAATAATAACTAAAAGAATACTTTATCTAAAAAAATGTATACATTGCACGAACCAAACGATCTTAGTAGTTAAGGGATTTATTGTTATCTCTTGAGGTTACAGATTTTAGCACCTCATATGCAGGGATATCTATAACTCGTTCGTCTAAATGAAATGTAAGACAATAAAGTTGAAGTTAAATGTTGCAAGAATTATCATCTTGTAAGACGAGGAGTTGTGTTTCTCAAATGATGTTGGAAGTTCGAATTCTGATATTATGAATGAGAAAAAATTAGGTTGAAAATATTATTCTCATTCTAAATCTCTATCATATTTAATTTAAATTAATCAATTAATCAATAAAATGTTAATGATTAAGAAAAAAAATCTTCCATTCATATCAACATGTTCCTTAATATTTTCTACAAAACTTTTAATTAAGGGAATAAAACTTTTAATTAAAGGAGAATTAAAGGTGGTATATATTCAAAATCTTTTTAAGTCATCGATGATAAGTGTATATCCTATAGCTGATCAAACTTAAAGTCTGTAAAAATTAATATTTTTTACCACTTAAATCAGTTAATAAGTTCATATAAGTCTAATAGTTTATTTTGATGTTTTTGTGCTTAACATGTATGGTGCAAGCAATTATAATAAAATAGAATTTAAAGACAAAGACAATTCTAAGTATTTAAAATATAAATTATAGGCTATAATATAACGTTTAAGCTATATAATAAAAGAAAGGGTAAAGTATACAAATAGTCCTTGAACTTTAGGGTATTTTCATTTTGGTCACTCAACTTTTGAAACTTGCAATACAGTCATCGAACTTTTAGTTCGTTCTCATTAAGGTCCCTTACTAGTAGCAGTTAAGTGCCATGTCAGATAAGACTAACGGGAGATAACATAGGGACCTTACTGAAAACAAACTAAAAGTTCGATGATTGTATTGCAAGTTTCAAAAGTTAGGTGACCAAAATGCAAATGCCCTAAAAGTTTGGGACTATTTATATACGTTACCTTAAAAGAAATTAGGCTACCAATCACGTAAAAGAATGTATTAAATCATAGCTTCATTTGTGAGACCTAAAACACCACATCATTGAGGTAGTACGCTAATTAACTACCTTAATTGTTCCTGTGTGATCTGCTTCCCTATTATCAAGATATCAAGACTCGGTCCCAAAAAGGAAACATCCAAGCTATTAGCTGCCTTTGGTGTCTGAGAATTAGAGCCATGAATCATTGACTGGATACTAACTCCACTAAATCCGTCATGTATGTTTGACCATAAACGGTGGTCTTCGATCCCCTCTTTTCTCAACCACCAAATACGTGGCGGTGCAGCTCTTCTCGGAGGGGCATCGAAGCATCCCACTCTATGGGTAATTCCTGATTGTCATTGCTTAATCGCAGAGGACAAACGCTCTCACCACGACCCAATTTACCACAGAGAAAACAAAATAACATTAATTTCCCCTATTCAAATAGTACATAATGATGTCTGCCATTTGCCATAAGTAGTTTTTTCTCTGCTTTAAAGGGAGACGAATAAAGCTTCCTAGAAGTTTTACCATCTTCTCTGACATGAAACCTAGACGAACTCGGGTTTTCATAATCCACCATGTACTCAATGAAAGTCCTAACAAAGTTTCCTAGAAGTTTTATCATCTTCTCTGACATGAAACCTAGACGAACTTCATGAACAAAAATCCAAGGATCTACGTAATTTAAAGACTCTTATAGGATCATTCTCTTCTCGTAGTCTGTGAAGAACAAGTAGAAGTAAAATTCCATTGACCCCCTTTCCATATGAGATCAACATCGATTACGTGAAATAATAGAAAAGAAGACGTCTTTCTCTCAAGTTAGAAATTGAAATATCCCGGATTGGACGCCAGACATTTGCTACAATGCTCTCGTAGATTGAAAGTTTATAACACTAGGGGTGTGTTTGGGAATCTCACATTCCCCCGTTTTGTTAGTCGGAAATATCATTCCCGGTAATCTTACATTACTAATAGTGGATATTTTGGGGTATATTACCGGGAATGTCATTATCTCCCTTTCCTTAGGTATTGTTGGATTACCGGCGTTTTGGACTAAAATGCCCTTAAAATTTTTTTTTTCTTTCAAACATATAATTATTCTGCCATTGAATAATAAAAATTCTACGAATGTTAAATTACAATTTTATCCTTAAACTATTTTAGATTTACAGAAAAAAAATCTATAATTAAAATTTTATATGAAGTTCAGGGGTTAAAATAAAAATTTACCCTTTCATTAAACCTTTTTATATTTTCAATTTTGTAAAAAAAATTAAATAAATTTTATGAATTTAAATTTTTTAAAGAAAATATATAGATATTTTATTACTTGTTAAAAAAACAAATATATAATAAGGACATTTTGGTCAAACATACATTCCAATAATCTTTTATTCATTTAACCAAACACGGTAATCTTACATTCCTGCTAAACCAACCAAACACAAAATACAACATTCCCAGTAATCCTATTCCCTGATAATCTTTTATTCCCACTGATAATCTTATATTCCGTGAACCGAAAACACCCTAGACGTAAGGAACTAT